TGAATGAATGAATGAATGAATGAATGAATGAATGAATGAATGAATGACAGGGTTTTATTTTTGGGGAAACACAGGTAAGTCTAGGTGCTATTGCTATATCATGTTAGCCCCTTTGGAAAGATCCTCCTGAGACTCTGTACCACAAATCCATTGCTTTATTTCTTCTTATTTATCCCCCCCCCTCTTTTTTAAAATTTAGCTTCACTTGTTTCTTCAAGGCCTCTCATTCAATAATTCACTTGGGGAAACTGTATCCATTGACCCTCAGGGAGAAGTGCTTTCTGGATTTGATATTACAAATTTTGTCATTTTTCCAAATCACTCCTACCATAAAGTCAAAATTGGAAAAATTGATCCCAAAAGTCTTGAAGAAAATGAATTTGTGATTCATGAACATTTAATTGTGTGGCCCAAATATTTCAAGCAGGTAGAGATTTTAAGTCATTTTGTTATTTTGGGCGAAAGTTTTGGATATTTAAAAAATGAATTTATGCAATCTGTTCTCAGATCCTTTAATCAGTTAAAACAAACTACTCTGTATTCAAATATGTCTGTTTTTCATGTTATGGGGAAATGATACGTGGCAAATAATTTACAGGATTTATTTGTGGAGGGAGGGGGGGAGTATTTTACAATTACTCCTAACACTAGTAAAGAATGAAATAAAATTCAGGAATAATTAAATGGTATTAAAAATAATTGAAAATAAAATAAAAAGTGTTCCCATCTATTTTTGAAGGTCATAAGCCATTTGAGACAAATTTTGTGTAGCCTGATTTGATTGTGCTTGACAGAGCAAAGCCTCTGACTTAGCTGTGTGAATAATAGTGTAAAAAGTGAGTAAATAACTCCTGAAGTTGGGAAAAGAGCACTCCATCAACTAGAAAGAGTAGAAGGAAAACACTAAACTTCAAATTGTGCTCAGAGTCACATTTTAGATGGTAATTTTTGTTGTTTCTTTTCTGCTTGTACTAATCTAAGTATAAAGTCTCACAGCATGTTTTTTTTTTTTTTAAAGTCTATTTCTCCTTTTTCTTCATTTAATCCAGAAAGGGGAGAACAGACTGGATGTAGTTATATGCAATAATTGGGGTGTGTTGAAGAGATTATCAGGTGTGGCACTTCATTTCCTAGAATCATAGAGCTGGTGGGGACCTCAGGGTTCCTCTAGTCCAACACTCTTCTCAAGATTGGAGACCTAGTACCATTCCAGTCAAATGGTTGTCCAATCTTTTCTTGAAAACCTCTAGCAGTGGATCACCTACAACCCTTGGAGACAAGCTATTCCACTGATTGTCCTCACTGTTAGAAAATTTCTCTTAATTTCCAGATTGGATCTCTCTTTAACAAGTTTCTACCTATTAGTTCCTTTCCTGCTTTCTGGTGCTTGGGGAAATAAGTCAATCCCCACTTCTCTCTGACAGCTCCTTAAGTACTGGAAGACAGTTATAATGTCCTTCTCTTCAGTAGCCTAGAACAACCTAGCTCTTGAAATTTATTTGAATATAGGTAGCTCGGGTTGGTAGTTGGGCTGTTGGTCTGAACTCCGAACTTGGCAATTTTATTGCAAATGTTTCATCATCATTCGAGGAGACATCATCAATGTGCTTTGAATTGTACTTGTCTTTCAGAGCACTGGTCTTTAAATATCTTTTTTACATGATCCAAATTAGTGTGGATGTTATTTGCCTACTTCTGAGTCATGGTCTGACTTCAGACTGTTTGATTGGCTGGCTGTTGTTATTGAGGCATGGTCTTTGGTTTTAAGTACCATCTGTGTGATGTAAATTAGTTGTCAGGGTTCCAACAAATGTTCTAATCAAATCATGAGCCTCGAGCCAAACTTCAAAAGTAATCCAATTATTTATTAGGAGCAATATGTCGGCACTGATCCTAATGAAGCCAGCTCTGACTCGTATAATTTATGGTGCACCTATGGCCCAGTCTCCCCCTCCCCACTGGATGTGTCATAAATCACGTTTTCTAACCATCATGGCTGGTGTGTCAAAAATCACATTCTCCAACCAAGGACTTTTGTGGGTTCTAGAGGTCACGCACCTCCAACTGGATCAGTAACCTGGGATACAACTTTGTTCTATCTCCCTCTATCTCCCTTTTGATAGGTTGGGCAATTTCTTCCTTTTGAATAAAAAGGAAGATGCAAACAAGGAATAAAGTAGTTCTGCTTTTTCCCTGCCACCTATTACCTTCTTGCCATAAGAAACTTTCTTCTTGTTCCTTATATATATTGGAAGAAACATATTTATCACTTCTGTAATTACTTGTCAATCTTGGCTCATTCTGGACCTGACCTTTCCTGTCTCTTTTTCTTACAGATTTGGGCTGTTTGCTGATTTTCTCTTTGAGTTATGTACTCCTTTTCTTTGGCAACCATGGAGGCCTCATCTGGGGTTGCTTTACTTTTTCTGTGGTACTGCTTTTGCTTGGTCCTTCATTATTTCATCTCTCAGGATTTCTAATGCATCTTGAACATTTTTTTATTTTTAGGATTTCCATCCATGGAATCCTTCTTAGTCTCACTCTTAGCTTGAAATGTCTAAAATAGTAGTATGACTTGGTTCAGTGATCTGTGATTGTGTTATGGTGAATTCAAGCATGATAAGGTCTCTCTCCTTCAAAAGTTCTGTCAACTTCTAGTCCCTCAACCATTTCATCCTTAGTAGTAAGAATTATGTCCAATGTAGCTGTCACTCTATTTCCCTTCCCTACCTTCCCAAAGGGAAGGGACATGGTGGCTCAGTGGCTAAGATGCTGAGCTTGTTGATCAGAAAGCTCGGCAGTTCAAATTCCTAGCACCACATAATGAAGTGAGCTCCCATTACTTGTGTCAGCTTCTGCCAACCTAGAAGTTCAAAAGTACATAAAGAATGCAAATAGAAAAATAGAGACCACTTTGGTGGGAAGATAATAGTGTTCTGTGCACTTTTGGCATTTAGTCATGCCAGCCACATGACCATGGAGATGTCTTCAGACAATGCAGGCTCTTAGGCTTTGTAACAGAGCCAGGAACGACTGGCACCTAAGTGAAAGGGGAAACTTTACCTTACCTTCCCATAGGATAAACCTATCAGCTAGGTATGTCAGGAACCTGTTTGATCTCACACTCACTGCACAGTTTGTTTCTCAGGTAATGCCAAGATATTTAAAGTCTCCCATTACTACAGTGGTATGTTTCCTGCACACCTGAGCTAATTGATTGAGTTTATAATCCTTTGATCTCTGCTACTCTATTTATGCAGGCAGATTAGAGGATGATTATGCAATGTTACTCAAGTCTTCAGTCTTGAATTCTATTCTGGTTTATCAACAGGTCTTGCCTCATTCATTGTGTAATAATCCCTGTCCTGCTGGCTATCAGAAGAAAAAGAAAGAAGGAGAGAAATTTTGCTGCTATGACTGTGATCCATGTTCAGATGGGAAGATGTCAAATACATTGGGTAAATTATTCTGTTTTATTCTACTCTACAGTCCTCTACCCTGTCCTATTCTACCCTACTGTAAAATCTTCCAGTATGAGAATCAGAATTGGAATCAATGAAGCAAACAAATCAACTGTGTATATAAATAAAATTTACTATCAATTTTGCACTGAAACAAAGCAATACATCACAGAGTACAGTACAGTATGATAGACAGATAGACAGACAGATAGATACTGCATATATATTTGTGACCATAGGTATAAACCAAGTTTGACCATGTGATTGAAACCCAATTCCTTGTTTGTGTGTGTGTGTGTGTGTGTGTGTGTGTGTGTGTGTGTGTGTGTGTGTGTGTGAGAGAGAGAGAGAGAGAGAGAGAGAGAGAGAGAGAGAGTCATTTCTGGGTCTAGTAGGTGGTGCTCATCTCCATTACAAAGCCGAAGAGCCAGCACTGTCTGAAGAAGTCTCCGTGGTTATGTGGCCAACACGACTAAATACCGAAGGCACATGGAACACTGTTAACTTCCACCAAAGTGGTCCCTATTTTTCTACTTGCATTTTTACATGCTTTTGAATTGCTAGGTTGGCAAAAGCTGGTACAAGTAATGGAAGCTCACTCCGTTATGTGGTGCTAGGGATTCAAACTGCTGAACTGCCTACCTTTCTGATTGACAAGTTCAGCGTCTTAGCCCCTGAGCTACCATGAGCCTGTGTGTGTGTGTGTGTGTGTGTGTGTGTGTGTGTGTGTAATATATGTGACACTTGTTTAAAATAAGCATGGCTTCAATCACAGATTAAAAAATGGGCAAGACTTGAGTCACATTGCTGTGCCCACTTTCTTGTTCTTTTGGAAAATGTGTGAACACTCCCAATCATATGCGTCCATGAGTAAGGCTTGGACAACCAAAGCTTGAAGGGATGGGAAGCATGTGGAATCCATTCAGTATGTTGGTTCCTAACTGGGATATCACTAACAGAAAAGATTCCCATCTCAATAAACAACCTTTGTAGTAGCTATCATGTAATGATTTTATTGAGTGTTTTTTAAACTTAGTTACTTTAAGAAATGTGGAAATAGACTCCCAAAACTGTACAGTCAGAATTCTGAGAATTGAAGTTCAGACTTTGTAAAGTGGCAAGTATGAAAAACACCAAATTAATCAAACATAAATGATATATTTCACTTGGTGCTACGTCTCTCTCTTATTTACAGACACAATTGCCTGTTCTGAATGTCCAGAAGATCAATTTCCAAGTAAGGACAAAGTTCGATGCATCCACAAATCAATAATATTTCTAACTTTTGAAGAACCTTTAGGGATCAGCTTAGTTGTGATTACTGCTTTATTTTCAGTCATTACCATGTTAATACTTGGAATATTTATCAAGTATAAAGACACTCCTGTTGTTAAAGCTAACAACAAGGACCTCACCTACACTCTCCTAATCTCCCTTCTGCTTTGCTTCCTCTGCTCTTTTCTTTTCCTTGGAAAAGCTTCCCAACTGATTTGCATCCTCAGACAAACTGTCTTTGGGGTTATTTTCTCTGTGGCCATTTCTTCTGTGTTGGCCAAAACCATCATGGTCATTGCTGCATTCATGGCCACCAAACCAGGTTCCGGCATGAGAAAATGGTTGGGGAAAAAACTGTCCATCTTAATTGTTCTTTTCTGCTCCTTCATTCAAGCAAGTATTTGTTTGGCATGGATGATCACTTCTCCCCCCTTTCCAGAACTTAACATGCAATCCATGACTGAAGAGATCATAGCAGAATGTAATGAAGGGTCTGTTGTGATGTTTTATCTTGTCTTGGCCTATATGGGGTTTCTGTCTTTGGTCAGCTTCATGGTGGCTTTCCTAGCTAGGAACCTGCCAGACACATTCAATGAAGCCAAGTTCATCACTTTTAGCATGTTGATGTTTTGCAGTGTTTGGTTGTCTTTTGTTCCAACATATTTGAGCACCAAAGGAAAGTATATGGTAGCTGTGGAGATCTTCTCCATCTTAACTTCCAGTGCTGGGTTATTGGGATGTATCTTTTTCCCCAAATGCTACATTATTTTGCTGAGACCTGAGCTGAACAACAAAGAACAACTTGTAAAAAGAAAGCATTTCTGACTATTAAATCAAGGTTATATGTATTTCTGCTGTGAAATGGAATTAAATATCCTGCTCTAAAAATAAAAAACTGAGCTTGCTTATTACCTTAACTGACTTTACCAATATTGTACATCCTAGGCATGTATAATAAATACTCTGTGTCAATTTCTATAAATGGAATTGAACAATAAAATATTTTACTATTTCACGAGTGACTCTACTTTTAATAATACTTTAGGTTTTGATTATTTACCTGATCTATTTAACGAAGAGAATAATTAGGTCTTTTTTAAAACAGATCTGCTGTTTCCTAACCATTAATAATAATCTAATACTGAATAGTATAGTTTGGATCTTATTATCATCAAGCAGTAATGGGAATAACTCTGTTTTCTATTGCAAATCATTGAGTTAAAAGATGTCAGAATATCTCAGCAATTAGAAATGTATCTGATTTGTTTTCCCCCAAGAAATATCCCATGTTCTCTTTAATTAATTTCTAACATTCTGAGTTTGAAGAAGAGAGATTGAATTTAAAATCTTAGTTTTACATTTCCCTTCTCTTTGACATCTGGAAGAATAATTTCAGATAACAGATAATCAGAGTTGAAAGGGACCTTGTAGGTCATCTAGTCCAACCCCCCACTCAAGCGGGAGACCCTACACCATTTCTGACAAATGACAGTCCAATCTTTTCTTAAAAGTCTCCAGTGATGGCACTCCCACAACTTCCGAGGACAAGCTGTTCCGTTGTTTGATTATTCTCACTGTCAGAAAGTTTCTCCTTATTTCCAGGTTAAATATCTCCTTGTTCAGTTTCCATCCATTATTCCTTGTCTGGCCTACAGGCACTTTAGAAAATAGCTTGACCCCTTCCTCCCTGTGGCAGCCCCTGAAATATTGGAAGACCACTATCATGTCTCTCCTGGTCCTTCTCTTTACTAGATTAGCCAAGCCCAGTTCCTGCAACCGTTCATTGTATGTTTTAGCCTCCAGTCCCCTAATCATCCTGGTTGCTCTTCTCTGTACTTTTTCTAGAGTCTCAACATTTTTTATAATGTGGTGAACAAAACTGGATGCAGTACTCTTGATGTGGTCTTGCTAAGGCTTTATAGAGTGGTATTAGTACTTCCCTTGATCTTGATTGTATCCAGTGGTGGGATTCAACTGCAGCTTTCAACTGCAGGTTTCTAAAAATCTTATTAACCCATTAGACCAGAGGGAGCAAAAGAGAGAGGGTCCCAATGAGGGTCTTAGCTATTTAACTTAGGAATAATGGAATAACAGAGTTGAAAGGGACTTTGGAGGTCTTCTAGTCCAACCCCCCACTCAAGTGGGAGACCCTACACCATTTCTGACAAATGGCAGTCCAATCTTTTCTTAAAAGTCTCAAGTGATGGCACTCCCACAACTTTTTTGGCTGCTGCTGCACACTGCTGGCTCATATTTAGCTGGTTGTCCACTAAGACTCCAAGATCCGTCTCACAATTGCTACTATTGAGCCTAGTTTCATCCAGTCTATATGTGTACTTTTGATTTCACATATATACTCTAGTTTTTTTAATTAAAGAACATTTTAAAAGAATAAAAGGGTGTCCTTTTAAAAGAATAGAAGGATGTCCTATAGATTAAATTAATTAATTAAAGAAAAATAATAATTGATTTTCAATCTTCTGAAGGATGGTTTCAAGTTGCAAGGATAATATAATGCTAAAATTGATGAACATGCTGGATGAAGGGACTTACAATCTATGGTTGATGTTATGGCAATTGCAGCATCCTGGGGATGACATGATGAAAATTCAGGTGCTTGCTAGCTTTCCTACCCTTAACCACAAGGTCATATCCTCATCCCACATTTTTTTCAAAAATAGATCTATTATGCCAACTGACATTCAGTGTATTACAGGACTAGCTCAATACCCGTGCTTTGCTACAAAACTATGTGGTTGGGCTTATTTTGGGGGGTGGAAAATAAGGGTGTAAGGTCTGGCAGTACGCTTAAGCCAAAAATGAGCCGAAACAAAGACTTAAATGGAGGCTTGCAAATTAAATAAATAAATAAATAAATAAATAAATAAATAAATAAATAAATAAATAAACAAATAAATAAATAAATAAATAAATAAATAAATAAATAAATAAATAAATAAATAAATTTTTATTCTTTGATCAAAGTTAAAGAATCTGGGAAGAAGTTCCTAGTACATCACAAGGGACATGGGAGGAAAATTCTACAAAATACAGAATGATGTCTTGTCCTTCTTATACACAGAAAAGTCTTTGTTCTTAGTTCTCTAATTACCTTGTAAATCTCTAGTCATGTAATCTAACTAAGATTTATGTCTTCCTGCAACAGACAGATTCCAGTCAGGCAGTATTTACCTCTCTTCATGAAGGAAAACAGATGGATTCAGATTGATTTAGATGGGACTATCATGTATCATGAGTTATAATCGTTTTACAACAAGTGAAAGGTTAAAGGAATATTTTCCATAACAGCAAGATAAGAAATGCCTATGGACATAAATACTTCTACATATATAAGAAAACAACTGCCTAACATCAAGATAAGATATGCCTATAGAGTAACTCTCTATAGTAACTCTCTCACACTTAATGCTATAATATATTTTATTTCTTTATTTATTATCCTTCATTCCTCCATTTTATTTAAAAGGATAGAATTCTTTCTATCAGAGTGAATGAAGAAAGATAAAGGCATTGATAAGAGGCAACAGAAAAAGATTCCTTCAATGACTCCCAAAAGCTTTCAACCATTAAGGTCTATCAGTCAGGGGGAAAAAGTTCTGGAAAGTTCTGGAAAGAAATTTACAGTATCCAATTTACAGTATCCAATTTTCCATGCCAATTATTTTCAGGTGTTTATATCCCTGTCTATGAGTTTCCAAACAGGTGTTACGCAAGCACAAACCCCAAAAAATTCTTCACAGCCATGGTTCTTCTTGAAATTACAGGCTGCCCATTTTCAAGGGATGATTACTGTACTTGTCCTAACTCTTAGTCATTGAGCAATCCAGGCTATTTAGTATTTATTTATTTATTTATTACACTCAATAAGCCCTTGGACTTCTACTCATGAGACCATCAGTGCAACATCTGGGCAACTGGGCAGCATCATTTGTGAGTTATAGTCAGGACTTTGGATTTGGAGATCTCTTTTCTGCTGTCTCTTCAAGTGAGGGAATTGCCTGAGGGGGATGCCCCTCCCCCATGGAGACATGACTTCTTGTGCCTTAGTGGCACAGAGCAAAAATCAACTTGGAGCAGCTTCAAGTGGAGGTACTAGGAGAAACTTTGCCGAATTCTGAATGGTGTGTGTCTTTATATGTGTGTATGTGTATGCAGCTGCTTTTCAGTACAAACATATTGAACAAATTTCCCACCCATCAGACAGAAGTCCAAAGTGTTCAAGACCAAGGTGTCCAAAAGTTGCTGTGGCAACCATTCTCAAATACACAATCCTTACATGAATACATTAAACTGGTTACAATATAAATGAGACAATGAAGAAAACATTACAATGAATTTCCACCCTCCCCCAATAATTTTTCCAGTTGTCTTTTGGGAATTGAAAAAGAGGCTTTTACTGGTCCATCAGCTTCATTTGGGATCTTCAGCTGGAATAACATAAGATGACACTCAGGCAGGGAAAATTTAAAAAAACCTGGTACTCCTGCAATGAGAAAAAATCACAAAGTCTATTCATACCACCATGACCACATCAGCTTTTGGTAATTTTTATTCTCAGCCAGTCTTCTCCAGGAAACACTTTCCACTCTTTTAAGTTCATAACCCTTTGTCTTTTGTTCAGACTGCTCTTTCAGTGGTCAGCAAGATTTGGTAGGACCTGTCCCAGGCTTTTATCAGGACCCAATCACCAGGCTGGAACTTATGGACAGCAAATTCGAGAGGTAGGTTTTGAACTAGAAGTCATTTGCTTCTGAAATGAGATAAAGGAGAGTAGAGGCCAAGTATACAGCTCTTTACAGACATATCTTTAGTTTCACACTGCGTGATTTCTCCCATTCTGTTCAAGTGTAGTAATCAAAACATCATTTCAGAAGGTAAAGTATCCCTTTTTGGACAGGTTCAAATTCAGAGCCAGGCCAAGAGTAATCAGTTGGTCCATGGCATAGATGAATTTGCATTCCACAGAATGTGACATTCCCACTGAATTCCCACACTTCATGATTGATTGAAGCACTTTTGAAGAAAAATGAGCTGCTGTCTATAGCTCCTACAATCCCATATCTAGGTATTATCTGCTCCTGTATAATTTTGGCTCTCATGGCTGGATAAGCCTCAACCCATCCAGTCAAGTGATCCACTATCTTAAAAAATAATAATTAAATCTTCCCACTTTTAGCCATTCCCCAAGGGAATATAATTTAAATCAAGTTTAACCTAGGCTATAATATAAGTACCACAACAAAATAATGTTCAAAATCCAAACCTCCCTATAAATATCATTTATCCTTGACAGGTAGGGTCTAGCATTTCAGAGAAAAATGCCACTTCTGTGTTGAAAAACCCTCAAAAGCCATTCCCTAATCTGTGTAACACTAGGCTCTTCTTCTAGTAGTTTAGCATACAAGTCTTCATTCAAAATAAGTGTAATTATCCATCCATTCACAGCTTACAAAATCCAGCCAATACTCATCCCTGTAACAACTCCTAAAAAGAGCAACAACTTATGTTGCTGACAAACAAACAAACATGCCATAGGATGGAGCACGGTGATTCCTAAGCAGGGGTGGGTTTCTACCGGTTCGCACCGGTTCTATAGAATCAGTTGTTAACGTCTCCTGTAGTTCTAAGAACCGGTAAAACCGACCCCTGCTTGGCCCCGCCCTTCTCTGCTGCTCCTATGGGCCAAAAACTGTTTTTTATTACTGTGCATGCACAAAAATCCCTTCCTCATTCTCCCCCGCCCACCCCTCCCTTCGCGGCCCCGGCCCCCACCCCTATCCACTGCTCCAAAGTAAAAAAAAACA